AGCGTTTGTTTTTGTATGCGGTGTCTGGGGTAAAAACAGAGTCAATTCGTAGCAGCGCGAGCACGGCGTGAGTTACGAAAACACGATTTTTGAAATCAAACTGTTACGATCTTATCGAGACAACATGAAGTATCATATTTCATATTAATATGAGCAAATTGGAAAGGAAATTAGTATTTTCGAGGAGGCGTGGACGAATGATCGCGAAAACACGTACTGCACGTTGTGAATATATAGCACCAAGTACACGATAAAAATCCATTACTAGCCAATTGCGGTATCCAATCAGGATACAGGAAGAAAGTTTCCTATCCAGGGTTTACTATTGGAAACGCGGTTGGAAATAAAGTAAGCACTGGGGACGAGGTTGGCGTGGGTGCCACTGGGGTATAGGGTATAGGGAGATGGGGGGGGGGAGGTGTACGCCTATATAGCCCAGGCCTGTGTGTTAATCCGCTGCTGGGGAGGAAGGCAGGGGCTGGACACCATTATACTATATAGCTGGCTCTTTTTATATGGAATATTGAATTTTTCGTACATGTACAAACCTATTCAGGTGCCTTTAAAGCCATACGAGCTTTCTTGTTACCATGACAGCTTTTACTTCTATTTAATTTTGTTTTTACCTTCAATTTTTAAGGAAACGCAAACTTCGCAAGCGCATCCAGTAGCTATCACCTTCTCGTTCAATGCACGTTGAAATGAAGGATATAGACCCTGGGAACGAGATGGTAAGGCATGGTCATAAATTTATATGCATGTGCGGGATAGTGTCAGTTGCGTCCCGTATGAAAAAGTGAACAAAGAGGAAACACATAGAAATTTAAGTGGCCATATCATGTCATCCCAGTCCTACGGGATCGCTGCTCATGTAGATTAAAAAATAATGAATGGAAGCAAATTTATTGAGGCTTTCCCACAAACTACACTTTTCAACCAAATGGTAATTTCATTAGGTGTTTAAGGTAACATACTGTTCTTGGAGATCACGTCATAGGCAGGTTATACAGCGATGAGCGCGCACTGTCCAAAAGTGATAAAAGGGAACACACCTGTAGTGCTGAAGCAGTCGACGCCGTGTCGCCGTTATGTTACGTCAAGCTCACGTTTTGGACTCCCTTTGTTTTTGGATCCAACCCATTCGGACTTGAGTTCGTTTGTACTTAAGCGCGCTTGGACTTTCGCTAGTGTAAACTCGAGGGCATTCGGTCTACTACTCGTCCGGATCGGATGGCATTTTGAGTTCGCCTTTTGGGACAACTGGGATTCTGAGGAGGCCTTGGTCATCCCACTGCGCACTTGACATTCGGACTTGAGCTCGTTTGTACTTGGGCGTGCTTGGACTTTAGCTAGTCTTAACTCGAGGACGGACTACAGCTCATGCGGACCGGATTTTTTTGGAATCGCTTTTTGGGACAACTGAGATTTTGAGGAGGGCTTGGTCATTCCACTGCGCACCTTTTTTTGCTAAGGTAGGCATACGTTATCACACATTAAATTTTCATTGTTAATCAAGGCGAAGTTGTATTCAACCTTGTTTGGTATAGGATTGGACAACTACAAGATATAGATGGCAGTATTATATCCGATAATGGCGGATGACAATTGGCATATTACGTATGAAATATTTACATTATCATTGTATAACTGGCTTCAATGAAATAGGTGTTTAACAAATGGGTGTTGACACCTCGATTGATAAGTTTGCACAAGATTCTGCCGAGATATACACGTAAAGACAAATTATTTTTTTTACGTAATGGCGGAAGCTAATTTGAATATTAATTGATATTAAAAATGCCCAAGGGTGCCAAAGTGTTACTCGCCGGAATATTGATCTTAGGTTCAAATGACAATAAAATGCAAAACCATGCTGTGCGGACCCTAGATTGCACAGTCTCCCTCCATAGGCTCCAAATTGGGGTTTGACACCCGGACTATAAGTGGACTGCGATGAAATAATGCGGTAAACATGTGGAATGTGTTGATGCATATAATGGTACATCAGAATGTTGTTTCACGAACTAAAAACAATTACCACCGGCTAAAGAGTTAAAACGAGCATTCCTTGCAAAAATACAGGTGTTTGCTCCAAGCATGATAATAGGTCAAGCATCAGCATAAATCCTTCACTTACCAAATAGGGATGACACCACACCTCTTTTGTCGATGGCTTAGCTGTTTTTCGAAAACTAGTCTGAAATGAAGTAGCATTTCGTGCACATACTACTCCCACCCAGCATAAAATACACAGTAACGAGGCAATGTACAGGGTGGTCCAATAAAACATTTTCACTTTTTCAGATGCAGATTTCTCAAAATTGGGGAGACATGTTAAAAATGTTTAAAATATTCCCAGGCTACAGCATCTTGGTGGTATTTGGTGAAAACAGCGCTGAAAATAAAGCCTAAATTGAGAAATGGCGATGGTTTAAAGAAAGATGGTCAAACACCAGTTTGTCCACCCGCAAGTCTACGAGATAATGGTCAACACAATCGCACTGCCTGCACAAAGAAATAGGTCTACATGACTGCCATAGACTTGGACAAACGAGTCTTCGACCATTTTTCTGTAAATGGCTGCTATTTCTGAATTTGAGCTTTATTTTCAATGCCGTTTTCACCATAAACCACCAAGATATTTTAGTTCAGGAATATCTTAAAACAATTTCAACTGTCTCCCCAATTTTCATTTTTTAGAAATCTGCCTCTGAAAAAGTGTAATTTTTGTGGGGTCACACTGTATGTACACATCTCACCACTGCATCAGGCTAACTTGAAAAACCACCCCACCGTTTTTTAGGTTGAAATCAAATTGTTTTAAGGCATCCATGACAGGAAGGATGCAAGGTGGATATCAACGGAGAAGTTTGTAAAACATCTCCTGAGATGAAACCATGTTGACGGAGCTTATTTTGTTGGCATCTTTTCAAAACCAACCAATTATGTTTGGTTTCCTATAACTGGATACACTCTGTTAAAAATGACTTCAACAAAGTGGGTCCATATCTTTTAGTAGTATGAAAATTGGGGGTTTTAGTCTTACATTTTTAATTTTGGTCTTACATTGAAAACAATGTTTTGTTTATCATTAGTAAAACAATTATTGCTCACGAATCTAATTAATACGTCTTTTTTCCCACCTCGAATAGCCTTCACGTGCCGGTTTTGACTCCATTTCATAGTCTAGAAAATATTATTGTTTTCCTTTTTTCTGTTTGATATAAAACCACAATGAAGTAAAAAGGAAGGAAGTGGGTGGGGTCTGGTCTAACCCCCCTTTAACTATTCTTTTTTTTTAGGGGGGGGAGGGGTAGTGTGAGTATCACCCGTTACTGTAGTGTAGTTGAACAGCGCCCTCTGTTGTTGTATATCTTTGACCAGACAACTGTATCACATGCGATCCTGAATAAAACAGTTACTCTCAAATCCGTGTCCATATTCCGTTCCAAACATCACATTGGCGACGAGGAGGGATGGAACTAACACAAAACTGATCCAGCAATCGATTGCATCAACCAGTATCAACGTGGTGAGTCTCACACTCGTTGAATAGAACGTTTCTTTTGAAGAAATAATCGGAAAGCAGAACTGTAAATCCATACCGTAACTGGTCAACGTGAACTCTGTTACACCAACGCTGTACAGAACATTATCTCGACAGTTTCACAGTGCTCGTTGAATATCGCTATCGTAAAGCATGGCACTGCTACCTGTTTTTCCAAGATTTGACATTCATCAAGATGCTAATGCTGGTCCTCGCTGGAAGAAATGGCTCCAGAGATTTGAACGGCTAATGGTGGCCATGGACATAAAAGATGACAATCGAAAACGTGCACTACTGTTACACTATGCGGGTACAGATGTTGATGAAGTGTTTGAAATACTGAAGGATGTCGGAGATGATTACAAGTCAGCAACTGAGCACCTGACAAAATACTTCAATCCTCGACATAACATAGCCTACGAGGTATATCAGTTCAGGCAGGCCAAACAGGGCAAAACTGAAACTCTCGATACGTACCATACTCGACTGCGTCAACTTGCACAGACGTGTGAGTTCCAGGATGTCGACAAAGAAATCTGTACACAAATGATCCTCAGTTGCCAATCACAACGCCTCCGAAGACGTGCTCTGCGTGAACCAATGACACTGGAAAACTTACTTTCCAGTGGTCGTGCCCTCGAGACAAGCGAACGAGAAGCTGACGCTGTAGAAGCAGGGAGAGCTGAAACAACAAATGCTATCACAAAGTCCGATGATGGCAGAAGCATACGTGACAAGGCATACACAAGCAGGTCCTTCAAGCCCCGCCCTCCCCGACAGCGAAATGCATCACAGAACCGAGGCCGATCCAAGTCCAGGAACCGCCAACCACCACGCCAAAATCAACCACCACGCCCCAACCGTACCTGTTACTTTTGTGGAGGAATCTATCCCCATACTGGAACCTGTCCAGCGAAAGGAAAAAAGTGCCGAAACTGTGGAAAAATCTGACACTTTGATTCCGTATGCCGATCAGCATCAGCGAAAGTCACCGTCATAGAACAAGATGACTCTGACAATGACTATATCTTCGCCAACCAACGTGGCAGCGCTTACGTCATTCATGTTGCTAATCTACCTACCTGCGAAATGACCATCGGCAACACTACCCTGTCTGCCATGATAGATTCAGGAGCATCCGTCAACGTGTTAGACTCCAAATCCATTGATCTCCTTCGAAGTAGCGGGCAGACACTCAAGACACGAAAAGCTACTTCCAGAGTATTCGCCTACGGTACAAATACACCCCTACCAGTGCTAGGTGTCATCGAAGCTGAAGTAAGAGTCGGTCCCAACTCTTGCTCTACCGAGTTCCACATTGTCAACACACACAATTGCAACCTGCAAACAACTCAAGCTGATCTCCCTCAACGCAGACCATGTAACCTGCAACCTCCAACCAGATCAGCCACAACGACCACCAACCCCCACTGCCATGACACATGATCAGATAATGCAGCAGTATGGCGACTTGTTTTCTGGCATTGGGAAAATCAAAGATGTCAAGATCTCTCTTCACATCGACCCTGACGTAAAACCGAAGCAACAAAAGCATCGTCGCATACCCTTCCACACACGCAAAGATGTCGAGCGTGAGCTCCGGCGACTGGAAGATGCAGACATCATAGAGAGAATTGACGGTCCTACCCCATGGGTGAGCCCAATTCTTGTCGTTCCAAAGCCCTCAGGCGAGATCAGAATCTGCGTCGACATGAGAGAAGCCAATCGCGCAGTCCAACGAGAACGACACCCCATGCCTACCCTTGATGACATCATCACTGACCTCAATGGGTGTACAGTCTTCAGCACACTAGACATGACAGCAGGCTACCACCAGTTTGAACTGGAAGAAGAATGCCGCAACATCACAACCTTCAGCACCCATGTCGGTCTCTTCCGCTACAAGCGTTTGATGTTTGGTATCAACGCTGCCTCTGAGATATTCCAGTCAGCCGTGGCACAACTTCTTACTGGCCTGAGTGGATGCAGGAATGTATCAGACGACATTCTTGTCTACGGCAAAGATCAACAAGAACACGATAGAAACCTGAAAGCTGTTCTTGACAGACTCCAGAGCCACAACGCCAGACTGAACAAGAGCAAATGCAAGTTCGCACAACCAGAAGTTAAGTTCTACGGACACACGTTCAGTGGAGATGGCATCGCACCAGACCCAAAGAAAATTGAGGCCCTCATCAATGCAACAGCCCCCAAGAATGCCAAAGAAGTCAAGTCTTTCCTCGGGTTAGCATCATATGTCTCACGATTCATCCCCAACTATGCAACGGTCACTAACCCCCTTCGCGCCCTTACCCATCAAGACTCCAAGTGGAAGTGGGAGCAGGAGGAAATCTCATCATTCAACGAACTGAAAAGTATCCTGACAAACACGAATGTCATGGTGTATTTTGACCCTCGCAAACCGACAGATATCATCGTGGATGCAAGTCCAGTAGGACTAGGCGCAATGTTGTCACAAGATGGAAAGATTGTCTCGTACGCCAGTCGTACACTGTCAGATGTAGAATCCAGATATTCCCAAACAGAGCGTGAGATGCTAGGAGTGGTCTGGGCCGTCGAGCGTTTTCATCTCTACGTCTTTGGTGCCCATTTTCGCATAATCACAGACCACAAGCCTCTCCTTGGAATCTTCAAGAGCAGCAGGCCAACTTCTGCCAGAATCGATCGCTGGCGACTGCGTACAATGTCATATGACTGTGACATTGTGTACAAGCCGGGAAAAGATGATGAAAACCCAGCTGACTTCATCAGTAGACACCCCGGATCTCAAGCCCCTAACAAGTCAGTAGCAGAAGACTACATAAACTACATCTGTAACAATGCAGTCCCAAAAGCTCTAACTCTAGAGGACGTCCGTGCTGAAACAGCAAAAGATGGCATCATGCAGAAACTGATGACAACCATCCAATCCGGAAAGTCACACGATTGGGATGATGTAGACATGCGTCCATACAAACCAGTTCGGAGCGAGCTTACAATCTGCAATGGTGCAATTCTGAGAGGAAACCGCTTAACGATTCCCGCATCCCTGCAACCCACCATTATCGAGTTGGCACATGCCAGTCACCAAGGGATAGTCAAGACTAAGAGCCTCATTAGAGAGAAGGTTTGGTTTCCAGGTATTGACAGAATGGTTGAAGACAAAGTGAAGCAATGCCTACCATGCCAAGCAGCAACGACAAACAGCGCAGAACGTCCTGAGCCACTGAAGATGACACCGTTACCTTCCGCTCCATGGAAAGAAGTTGCTGTAGATTTCACTGGCCCATACGCATCTGGTGAATACTTACTTGTTGTCGTTGACGAGTATAGCAGATTCCCAGAAGTTGAGATTGTGAGTTCTACTTCAGCCAGAGCAACCATTCCGAAGCTAAATGCAATCTTTGCTCGGCAAGGGATTCCTGACATAGTCAAGACAGACAACGGTCCTCCATTTCATGGACATGAGTTTGCAAAATTCGCATCATATCTTGGTTTTACACATCGACGAGTCACCCCACTATGGCCAAGAGCCAACGGAGAAGTAGAGCGACTAAACAGAACACTAGGAAAAGTCATACGCATCGCCGAGACTGAAGGTGTAAGCTGGAAACAACAGTTACATAGATTCCTTCGCCAGTACAGAGCTACTCCTCATTCCTCAACAAACCTATCCCCCAGCGAAGCACTCAACTCCAGAAAGCTGAAATGTGAGCTACCAGAGATCCAGTCTCCCAAACGTCCATACAGTCGCGATGACTCCTTGCAAGAACGAGATGCCCAGCAGAAATCGAAAATGAAGACACTCGCTGACACTCGCCTCTTTGCCAAACCGTCAAACATCCAGACAGGAGACGTAGTCCTTGTGCGTCAACCCAAACAATCCAAACACACCTCACCATTCAACCCCAAACCCTTCCAAGTCACGATGAGAAGAGGAAACATGGTGGAAGCCACAAGAGGAGACAAAGTAACCAGACGAAACGTCTCTCACTTCAAAAAGGTCCAAACCCCACCCCCTGACCCCCACACTCTAGAAGATGACAACAGTGATGACCCTACAGACGACATACCTTTAGTCACTGATTCACAGCCATCCCAAGATCCTCAATCTCTCGTCAAATCTCCAGCAGTTCTTGAGGATAGTCCTAAACTGAAGTCCAGTCTTCGTCAATCCACACGAGTTCGCAAGCCTCCAGTGCGATTCAAGGACTATGTTCAGTGAACTCTGTGCAGACTGCAAAATTTTATTTGCTCATTTGCATCAAACCTATGCCAACTACAAAATAGGCCAAATCACACTCTCAGCCAATTTTAGGCAAAACCTTCTGAAGTTTCAAGTTTTAAAAGTTTAACAGTTTCAAAGTTCAAAATTTTAAAGTTGAAAGTTTCCAAGAAAGAAAAAGGAATTTTGAGTTGTGTTAAAAAAGAAAAAGAAAAAAAAACCCAAAGAACAAGAGAAAGTTCCAAGTTCTACAAGTTTGTTAAAAAAAAGAGAGAGAGAGAGAGAAAAGAAAAGTTTATTTAGATCCTTTTCAAACACTCAAATTAAAGGAGACGTAGGACTCATTCTTATTTGGAAAATTTTATTTCATTTTATTACTTCCAAACTTATCTCACTCGACCTTCAGTGCTCAGCATAAAAACAATCTTAAATGTTTTAACAAACTCAGTTAACTCAAGCAGAAACCCCTTTTGCAACGTTTCATTTAAATCATCCACTGGCACACTTTTCCAAGTTTAAGTGTTGTAACCACTTATCTAAAGAAAGAGGGTGAATGTAGTGTAGTTGAACAGCGCCCTCTGTTGTTGTATATCTTTGACCAGACAACTGTATCACATGCGATCCTGAATAAAACAGTTACTCTCAAATCCGTGTCCATATTCCGTTCCAAACATCACAGTTACCACGGAGCCAAATCCTGTATAACGTCTAACATCTTCTGACACGCAAATTTATGCAAGCCGCGCGCCAGCCAATCGGAGTCGACTTTACTAAATCGTGACGTCATTTCATTCCCAAATCAGGACTAAATGGTTTGATTGGTCAATTCGAATGCAGTACTGTGTAATACAACAACAACCGGCCCAATATCGCGTAACATGATACAGAGCGCGTGACACGTTTTTTTTTAATCCATTGTCTGTGACGCGCAACGGGTGAATGACCGAAGACTCGATATAGAAAGCGCCCGCTGATTGGTCAAAATCCAGGAGTTCAAGAGGCGGGGTCAGTAAATCAGTGGTAGTCTTGCCTAATTAATCAGCAAATCGATCTGTTTACGCGAAATAGAATTTGCCGTGGTCTATAGGGGAGGGGCTGCAAAGGACCAAAAGCGATTAACATCCTTCCTCCATAGTTAAGTTTATGTTTCCAGTTTTTGAATGAGGTTAAACTCTCTTTTTTTAAAAAATTTTCTGATGAGGTTATGTTCAGACAGCGTTTTTGCTAAAAGTTCGGCGGTCGCTCGCCACGCCTTGCCAGCCCCACCGTCGTAAAATTAAAATGTATACCGAGTGTTCAAACACTGTTTTTAAGTGGCCTTCAGCGGGTTCAACTCGTAGTGGTAATATCTCCGTTTCTGAGGTCACGTAGAACTTCCGCCTCGGCCCACACCGCGCGCTGTTAGATCCTTCACTGCGTCATATACCCATGCATGCGGTCCGAGCCTCTCTTCGTCACCCGTGGTTGACACCGTAGCTAGCCCCGCACGTATGTTTCAGCCGCTCATTTAGTTTGCGCGCATGCGCACTCAAAATATGAAATACTGATAATCAGCAAACATGGATGCCTGCGGTCGCAGTTTGACCCACTGAAGTATCGGTCAACATCACGCTTGAAGAACTTTGATAAATTTTTCTTTCCACGTGGACAGGAATTTAAGGCAATCAAAGTCACTTTTGCAAACCTTAGCGCAAAAAAAAAAGAGAGTATTTGATGCATTTTTTTTGTTTTTCCGTGTCGTGTAGTACGAAAATATTGGGTCACAAACTCAAAACAGGCGACAGTTTATGGGATAATTTTTCAGTTTTGCCGAGTAATTGTAAACTTGTCTTCACTGAAAAATGGTAAAAGATGCCATGGAAAGTGCGATGTTTAAATATCATTTAAGTCGGAAACCGTTTCAATGAGAAAAGTAAGGTCTCACGTTATACGTTTTTTCGTTGAATGTAACGTTAGTGTGCACGTACCTGTACACAGACCCTGCGGGAATCTGGCCCGTACCGTAAACATGGCTAGCCACGCGCCGTGCGCGGCGCTCCGTTTGTGATCTTTCGACGCGTTGGCAAATAAATGTATTTATATAACCGACATACAGATCCTTGTCATTTGATTGGTGGAGCTCACATCACGTGGCATTCGTTATTGCTCCCATTCATGCCGCAGCTCAAAAAGTACTATCCGCCCATGGGGAATGGGAAATATTATAACACCTCACCCACAGATTCTGTGTCTTGATTGGCCGAGAGCGAGTCACATGTTACTTCCTAATTTTGCTATCTTTCTGTGCACGGCCAAAAGTACTATGCGCATAGCAACCAAAGTACTATACCATTAGCAACCAAAGTACTATTTCCACGGCGCGGTATTTGTGTGCAAATGCATGCTGGTGTGCGCGTTGCGCGTTGTGCGTAGCGCGTATTATTCCAAAGAGAGCGCGCCGCAGACTTGGATTCAAACATTTCGTGAAGGTGTAGTTTTTAAGAGAGAAATACATTTTCCACCAAATTTGTATTGAAATTGAAGTTTATTTCAACTGTGTTCAGATTTAAATAATTTAAAATATTAAAATCAAGCAGAATCTGTGGGTGAAGTGTTATAAAACAAATATTGAATGCTTTATCTCGTGGTGAAGTAAAACTAGCCTCCCTTGGTGATCCATGGAGCATTCTATTTTCCCTCGGCTTCGCCTCGGGAAAATAGAATGTCCATGGATCACCTCGGGAGGCTAGTTTTATTACACCACTCGAAGCATTCAATATTTGTATACTATTCAACAGTTAGGATCATGACGCGATATTTGTGTGCAAATACATGCTGGTGTGCGCGTTCAGCGTTGCGCGTACCGCGTATTGTTCCAAAGAACCAGCGCTACAGCGTTGGCTTCAAACATTTTCGTGAAGGGGTGGATTGGAAGAGACAAATACATTTTTCTCCAGGTTTGTATTGAAATAAAATTTCAAATATATCAAATGACAAGGATCTATATGTCAGTTATATAAAACAAATATTGAGTGGCTTTAAATTGTGAAATGGGAGGAATATTATCGCTCGGTAAAATCTGGACTTTCCATTTCACTCGGCTTCGCCTCGAGAAATGGAAAAGTCCAGATTTTACCTTGCGATAATATTCCTCCCATTCCACGCTGAGCCACTCAATATTTGTATAACATTTAACTGAAACGATTTACAACTGACTGGTTCCCGCCCCTGAAATGCAAGTACGATCACAGAGGGCACTGGGACCAGTGTATTTGTGCACGAAGCTTTCAAAATGGGTTTACTCGAAAAATGACGATTTTTATAAGCTACAGGTTTCCTTCTTACATTAAATCACCTGTAAAATGATAATAATCTATCATTCTTTCCGATGGTACTACGGCTGATCTAAGGTAAACCCGGAAAATTGTCAAAATGTGTAAACCAAAGTCAAAAGCGAAAGATTTTTTTTCTTTTCATTTTGTACGTTTTTTGTCCATAATTATTGGGTTTTTTTTATATTTTAAAAGGTTTTTAGCGCCGTTACCACACTGTAGAGACAATTTATATCTTTGTTCACTTGGTCTACTGATAACTTTTGGTTTGAATCATCTTTTAAGTACGTTTGAGAAGGATACATTTTAACACATGAAAACCAGACAATCGTTAAGTGCGTCGTCTGCTTCCGCTGTTTGCAAGCCGACGACGCGGAGGAAACCATTGTGCATGCGTGAGAAGACGAACTAAATGCACGCACGGTCTATAGACCGCTTGCAGACGCGTTCGATAATTGACGCGCTAAGGTGAGCGACGCCATGTTATGGGACAAAATGTGCGTGAATTGATATACGCCTGTCCCACAACATGGCGTCGCGCGCCTTCGCGCGTTGATTATCGAACGCGTCTGCAAGCGGTCTATGGGGCTGAAACATACGTGTCCGGCGTCAACATGGCAGTCCGCGCGTCGATGATACCACGCGGAACGCGGTGTGGTACCGTATGGGCTGTGTTGGTTGCCTTCGTACGGAAGCGTATTTAGGACATGACCGAAAATATGTTTTAGGCCCACTACTTCGCCCGGGTGGATTACTATTTCACCCGGGCGGATTAATATTTCGCCCTGGCGGATTAATATTTCGCCCTGACGGATTGGTATTTCGCCCGGGCGGATTACTATTCCGCCTGGGCGAATTACTAATTCGCCCGGGCAGAGTACTAATTCTCCCGGCCGGGCAGACTACTAATTCGCCCGGGCGAATTAGTAATCCGTCCGGTCGAAATAGTTATTCGCCCGGGCGAATTAGTAATCCGCCTGGGCGAAAAAGTAATCCGCCCGGGTGAAATAGTTATTCGCCTGGGCGAATTAGTAATCCGCCCGGGCGAAATAGTAATCTGCCCAGGCGAAATAGAAGGCCGGAAATTTTTTTTTTTTGGTCATGTCCTAAATACACTTCCGTACCTTCGTGATCTAAATTTTTGCTCGTACCCACCGCCCTCAAACTGGGCGGAAGTTACGAAGGAAACCTACATTTTCCATTTTTTAAGTATCGTACCTCGGCCTTCATTTTGTTTTTGAAGTACATGTCAGCATTTTTGCTTTAATTGAAGGACGTTTCGTCATATTTGGATAGGGTTTACCTTCCTTAGCCAGAAATCCATTGGTAACATTTTTTTCCGTCTACCTTGTGGCGGCCATCGTGGATTTCGAAATGGCGTCCATTTCGGACCCAGCCTCGACTCCAGGGGCGCGTGCTCGTTCCTTACACTAACCCCTGGCTGTGATGATGACGTAAATGACGCTGAATGGCTATTCACAGCGTCCTGCGCGGGCATTTCGAAGATTGCACGCCGGGCGCGCCCGTAATGCGCTCGCGCTCGCGTGCTTAACTTTGCACGTAACGTCACGTACGAAAAAAAAAAATTGATTCAAAAGTGGCGATGCCTGTACGATATGGATTATGTCAGCCGCTTTTTTTGCTAAAAAAAACTCCTGTATCTGTGGTTGTAAAGGCACGAAAGGGGTACGTACATTTAATACTTGTCAACTTTTAACATTTTAAAGATGGCGTCAGCACGTAAAACGAATAAACTGCAGCCCTAATTATAATATACCGAATATACCGTATTTTGGTATATTTAAATTACACAATTCCAGGGGTTACGATCGCGCAAGGCATGATGGGAAACAACATGGCGCTGCAAGATCGTACCCACGGGGCACGAGGTTGTTTCGGACCTAATTTGAATCATAACTTCAGACCTGATTGTCACATGAAGTCCATTTTGGTGGCAAACCCTACGTTTTTGATACAAGGAACCCAACTTAGGTATGTTTACGGGGTACGAATGGTCAATTCATTGTCACCGTGCTATTGAGACCCTTTAAAAACTGAACTGCAAAATGGCGCTCATTCTGAAATATCCAAGATGGCTGCCATCCATTGGAGATACCTCGTCAATAATGTACGTTATTATTAAAAGGAAATCTAAGATGGCGGTTATTTTTAAGTATCCAAGATGGCTGCCATCCCTTGGGACTACCCCGTCAAATTTGATTTACCTGGGTTCCTTGGCATCAGAAACATAGGGTTTGCCACCAAAATGGACTTCATACGACATTCAGGTGCAACGCACGTTATTATTGAAATGAAATCCAAGATGGCGGTTACTTTGAAGTATCCAAGATGGCTGCCATCCATTGGGACTACCCCGTTAAATTTGATTTACCTGGGTTCCTTGGTATTGAAAACATAGGGTTTGCCACCAAAATGGACTTCATATGACAAACAGGTCCGAAGTTATGATACAAATTAGGTCCGAAATGGTGGCCATTTTGAAATAGCCAAGATGGCTGTCATCCGTTGGGAGTACCAAGTACCCAAGAGGTTGTAAATTTTTATGGGGGGGTCATTTTTTTCTAGTCCCACGATATGACCGTGGTGATAAGTATGACTGTGTGGCCTATTTTCGAGTAGTAAAATAGGGGTGTAAATGACGCCACTAACGTCAAAATAGTCCTTCCCCCCGAAAAAAAAATGTGTTCGGCTACAAATTTTGGGCAACATTTTTTTTGAAAAATTTGTTAGGCCAAATTCTGGGTGCGCCACTAGTCTGATCTCCCCCTACTCTAAATTAAGTTCCATCGCATGATAATTCTGATCTACAAGTTTAAACATAACGTGACTATCATTAAACAAGCATGGCATCAATTTACTAATAATGTTCAATCACTCTATTCAGTCAAGTTGATCTGTTGTATGTAAATGGTCGTATTCGAAGGAAAATTTAATTTTGTCACTTTCAGTGATAATTGACAACACAGCTTCATCACCATGGCCTGGGGTTGTTCATCGTTGACTCTGCTGGCTACCATTGCTTTCATGCTGTGTGCCTTTACTTCTGCACAGTCCTCATCAAGTTCATCAATTAGTGCAAGTTCATCAAGTAGTGCATGGGATGAGTTCTCATCATCGGAAGTCTCCAGAAATGGTAATCTTACTGTCTCCAAAACTGAAACCGCTTACTAAAGATTTCCCAGAAGTTCACGTTCCATTTGCTCTAACTCGACGAGATGTAGGCCTATAGGAACTATCCTTTAATCTTTGAACAATACACTGTACCATTCAGCTAAATCCAATGTCATTTTACTGTGGATTCATTTTAAATCCCAATTAAAACGATGATAGCAGGCATTATCACATGTCTGCTCCTATCTATTGGACGTATCATTTCAGCAGAAACCGAGGGGGCACGAATACGAGGTCCGGTCTCGAGTCCTTTGAGTCAAGTTCTTGTTCCCAGTAGTCCGGTCACGAGTCCTTTGAGTCGAGTCCTAGTTCCGAGTAGTCCGATCACGAGTCCTTTGAGTCAAGACCTAGTTCCCAGTAGTCCGGACACAAGTTTTTTGAGTCAAGACCTAGTTCCCAGTAGTCCGGTCATGAGTCCTTTGACTTAAGTCCTGGTTCCGAGTAGTCCAGTCCCGAGTCCTTTGAGTCAAGACCTAGTTCCCAGTAGTCCAGTCACAAGTCCTTTGAGTCAAGTCCTAGTTCCGAGTAGTCCGGTCACGAGTCCTTTGAGTCAAGACCTAGTTCCCAGTAGTCCGGTCACGAGTCCTTTGAGTCAAGTCCTAGTTCCCAGTAGTCCGGTCACGAGTCCTTTGAGTCAAGACCTAATTCCCAGTAGTCCGGTCACGAGTCCTTTGAGTCAAGACCTAGTCAACAGTATTCCGGTCACGAGTCCTTTGAGTCAAGACCTAGTCACCATGTAGTCCGGTCACGAGTCCTTTGAGTCAAGTCCTAGTTCTCAGTAGTCCGGTCACGAGTCCTTTGAGTCAAGACCTAGTTCTCAGTAGTCCGGTCACCAGTCCTTTGAGTCAAGTCCTAGTTCCCAGTAGTTCGGTCACGAGTACTTTGAGTCAAGACCTAGTCAACAGTATTCCGGTCACGAGTCCTTTGAGTCAAGACCTAGTCACCATGTAGTCCGGTCATGAGTCCTTTGGGTCAAGTCCTTGTTCCCAGTAGTCCGGTCACGAGTCCTTTGAGTCAATTCCTAGTCACCAGAAGTCTGGTCACAAGTCCTTTGAGTCAAGTACTAGTTCCGAGTAGTCCGGTCACGAGTCCTTTGAGTCAAGACCTAGTCACCATGTAGTCCGGTCACGAGTCCTTTGAGTCAATTCCTAGTCACCAGTAGTCCGGTCACGAGTCCTTTGAGTGAAGTCCTAGTTCCCAGTAGTCCGGTCACACGTCCTTTGAGTCAAGACCTAGTTCCCAATAGTCCGGTCACGAGTCATTTGAGTCAAGTCCTTGTTCCCAGTAGTCCGGTCATGAGTCCCTTGAGTCAAGTCCTAGTTCCCAGTAGTCCGGTCACGAGTCCTTTGAGTCAAGTCCTAGTTCCCAGTAGTCCGATCACGAATCCTTTGAGTCGAGTCCTAGTTCCCAGTAGTCAGGTCACGAGTCCTTTGAGTCAGGCCCTAGTCACCATGTAGTCCGGTCACGAGTCCTTTGAGTCGAGTCCTTGTTCCCAGTAGTCCGGTCACGAGTCCTTTAATTTTTCATCTTACATATATATAAATAGTTCTTCCTTCGAAATTCGAAGATGACAGCCAACATCTCCATACTAGTTGGTGTTGTGTGTTCGCAGATGGCTAATAAGTTCAATTCTAGCCAGGAAGCTGCAGTCCTACACTGGACACACTAGGTTGGGGGTGGGGGTGGACACGTAGGGAAGCATCTTCACGTTAACATACATCAGAACATAACGTAATGTTTCAAGCCACATTAAAAAAAATTGTGACCAGCTGCACTTCAATCTTATAGTCTGGCAGCATCCCGTTCAACTGTTTACAATTTATAGAATAGATTCAGGGAACACGATCAAAAGTGGCTTCGTCGTGAATAAGGTCTATTGTGTTGATTCTCTTTTATTTTTGTGCCGTTAACAGAGCGCTGCCCGCTTGAGTGTATGTGCGGCCCTTGCGTTGAGTGTTCTCGCGGTTGGAATCTTGAAACCATCAAAAGCATCCACAAAACAACAAACTGTCTGTAAGAAAAATTCCTAGTTTGTTTGATTAAAGAAACATTTTGCACACTTTACTGCTGAAATCAACTTCTATTTTTTGATACCGTCATTGGTTCTTCTCATTAAAAAACAATAAGAAGAATTGAATTGAATTGGAAACATTAATTTCCTCTTCAGGACATAGTAAAAAGTCTGACGCAATAACAGAAGACAATGTAAAGATTTGAATGAGGACAAGAAGTACAAACAACGTGCAAAATTTGACTGATTGGATACATTGTGTTAAGGTATACATTAAACTTGAAAATGGTCTTAAACGTTTAATTAATATCAAATACTAAGTTTGTCCAAAGCTTAGGTCAAGACAATTTAATGTGAGATTGTATCGTGAAACAAGATTTGGGGGTATACGGAATGTAATATTTAATGAACGCATGAGTGCACTTTGCAAACATACAAGTCTAAGGGACGGTGTCTAATTCAAATACCATTTCTGTCCAACCCAGCAATGCATTTTCTCCATCTTGTCGTTCTATGATTGTCTACAGGAAACTAAGAGGAGGCAATATCTCACATCTGGAGCCAGGCATATTCAGAAGATTTTCGATTTGGTGAGCTTAGTACATGTACCTATTATGGGCGTTCACGTTTGTTGCTAGGAAGACCCAGCCTCGACTCCATGGGCGCGTGCGCGTTCCTTCACTAACCCCTGGCCGCAGCCTCGACTCCATGGGCGCGTGCGCGTTCCTTACACTAACCCCTGGCCATGATGATGACGTAAATAACGCTGAGTGGCTATTCACAGCGTACTGCGCGCGAATTTCGAAGTTAACACGCCGGGCGCGCCCATAATACGCTCGCGTGCTTTGCACGTAACGTACGAAAACAATTGTTATTCAAAAGTCGCGATGCCTGTACGATATGTATTATGGCAGCCTCGTTTTTCGCTAAAAAAAAAACCTGTATCTTCGGTTGTAAAGGGACGAAAGGGGTACGTATATTTAATACAAATCTTTGCTGAATAACGCAACGTCCAAACGTTTTGTTTGAAAGGATTGATTCTTTAAAATCACAACTTTTAACATTTTTAAGATGGCGTTGGCACGTAAAACGGATAAACTGCAGCCTAATAGACCGCTTGCAGACGCGTTCGATAATTGACGCGCGAAGGTGCGCGACGCCATGTTGTGGGACAAAATGTGCATGGATAGATATGCGCTTGTCCAACAACATGGCGTTGCGCGCCTTCGCGCGTCGACACATTCAAATTACACAATTCCATGGGTTAAGATCGCGCAAGGCATGATGGGAAACAACATGGCGCAGCACAATCGTACCCATGGGGAACGAGGTTGGATAAACTGTAGCCTTATTATAATGTGCCATATTTTGACACATTTAAATGAGACAAATCCAGGGGTTGAATCGCGCAAGGCATGATGGAAAACAACATGGCGCAGCACGATCGTACCCATGGGGAACGAGGTTGGATAAACTGTAACCTTATTATAATGTGCCATATTTTGACACATTTAAATGAGACAAATCCAGGGGTTGAATCGCGCAAGGCATGATGGAAAACAACATGGCGCAGCACGATCGTACCCATGGGGAACGAGGTTGGATAAACTGTAACCTTATTATAATGTGCCATATTTTGACACATTTAAATGAGACAAATCCAGGGGTTGAATCGCGCAAGGCATGATGGGAAACAACATGGCGCAGCAAGATCTCGTACCCATGGGAACGTGGTTGATTGTTATAAATGCGTATTGTGTGGAAAACAAAAAATTTCTTCCCAGCAATCTGATATAACTTCAAACGGAAAGTTACAATATTGATGTATTTTTTAAAAAATGCATGCAACAAATCAAAATAACTGTTACGTCCACCGACACGTGGGTTCCCAAAAATATATACATTATGTGTTTGCAATGTGATGTCTTTGGAAAGTTAATTGGGAATAATTCGATGGGCAGGGTGTGGGTTAGTAGTAGGGAAGGTGGGGGCACCGGATCAAAATGGAAAAAAATCTGTGGCAAGCCTGGACACGTCGCTCTCGTTTCTAAAAATATTGGGGAAATCCCCCGCGGCAAATTTTTAGAAATCTGACGTCAGGTACCGGATTAAAATGGAAAAAATCTGTGGCAAGCCTGGACACGCCGCTCTCGGTTCTAAAAAAAGTTGGGGAAAAATATAGGGGAAATCCCCCGCGGCATATTTTTAGAAATCTGACGTCAGGTACCATATCAAAACCCTTACTCTCCCCCATTTATAAACAGCGCCCTCTAAAAACTTTTCCTTTTGTAAATATTAACCAGCAACCATGGATAAACGTTTCATAGAGACGGATAGCTAGACTGGCTCCCGCGGGGAGCCACTTGATTGTTTTATCTTATATAGGTTGACTGCCTCCCGCGGGGAGCCACTTGATTGTTTTATCTTATATAGGTTGACTGCCTCCCGCGGGGAGCCACTTGATTGTTTTATCTTATATAGGTTGACTGGCTCCCGCGGGGAGCCACTTGATTGTTTTATCTTATATAGGTTGACTGGCTCCCGCGGGGAGCCACTTGATTGTTTTATCTTATATAGGTTGACTGCCTCCCGCGGGGAGCCACTTGATTGTTTTATCTTATATAGGTTGACTGGCTCCCGCGGGGAGCCACTTGATTGTTTTATCTTATATAGGTTGACTGCCTCCCGCGGGGAGCCACTTGATTGTTTTATCTTATATAGGTTGACTGCCTCCCGCGGGGAGCCACTTGATTGTTTTATCTTATATAGGTTGACTGGCTCCCGCGGGGAGCCACTTGATTGTTTTATCTTATATAGGTTGACTGCCTCCCGCGGGGAGCCACTTGATTGTTTTATCTTATATAGGTTGACTGGCTCCCGCGGGGAGCCACTTGATTGTTTTATCTTATATAGGTTGACTGCCTCCCGCGGGGAGCCACTTGATTGTTTTATCTTATATAGGTTGACTGGCTCCCGCGGGGAGCCACTTGATTGTTTTAACCTAACGTCAATGCTTTGTGTAAGGTTGACTGATAAACGTTCAGTCAATGGATAGTCAATTTAAAAAGATACGATGACCACTACAAAAAAAGATACGATGACCACTACAATTAAGGCGGGGCCGAGGATGACGCCCTAAGAGGTGAAATAGAGATATAACACGGTGGATCGCTTTCATACTGTATATTTACCAAGAATTCGAACTTGTAAGTTTTTCGATAAGATTTTTTTTCCTTTGCCAGCTGTTCTTCTACCCGTTTTTTAACTTCTTTTTCAAAGTCTGTATCGTTTTTAATTTTTTGAAGCTTTGTGCTGGTCTTTGTTCTAATTTTTTGCTTAAGCTCGTTAAATTTTGCGAGCTCTCTCGTAATCAATATAAACTCTTCGTGCGATATATCTCCGTCGTTGATGGCTTGAGACACATTTTCTTCAATCATGTTAAAGTTGGAGTCTGCTAATATTTTAATCTGGTCGTGCTTTTTCAGATTGGCGGATAATCGCTATACGCGATTCTAAGCAGAATATCTACACCAAAAGCGCCTATAAACGTTCCTTCTAGCACCAATCCAACGGGGGCTGATATAACACCCAAGAGAGCGGGAATACTGACAGCCCCCGCTATAGCCCGCAATCCTTCGACTCCTAGCTCTACGTAATTAATAGTGTCGATCACTCTCTTTATTTTTTTATAAGTGAGCTCTCGGTGGTCTCTCTCTTTCAAGATTAAAGATCGAATCTCTTCAATCTTTTTAAGTCTGCATACTTTTGTTTCTTAGTTACTAATTAATCGGAGTACATCTCCAGAAATATCGGGATATAATACATTATTACTCATGTTTTTAATATAAAACGATTTTAAAATTAAAAGATCTCCAACTCTATCATTATACTCACACCCTTGATTTGTCCTTTTACACCTATGATTGAAAATGTCAGTTTGTCGATTATACCGTTTTTAAGTTTTTGGAAATCCTCGACTCTATCAGGCTCGGGTTCGCGCGTACCCACGGGTACGATTTTTAAGATATCAGACGGTCCACCATCGAGGAAATTTTCACTGGTACTTAATTGCGGGCAGCGAATAAACAAAAATTTAAACGGATTAACGTTGTAAGACCCCATATACACCACTTTGGGTACCATTCTTCCTTTGGGTAAATTGAGTAATCGAGAAACTTCTCTGTTTAAACGCAATTTGAGTTTCACGTCGGTTACCACCAACGTCACTTTTTTAGATTCTCTAAATATTCGAAAACTTACCCCGGGTATAGAATTTAAAATGAAATCGAACTAATCGACGTCATACCACCCTGGTGGTATGGTGACCGAACCGGCTAAATGACTCGGAGAAATAAAATCTAAATCATCACCCGACACGATAAGACTTCCCCGTATTGTTACACTAGCCTCTCTAATTGTTCCCACCCTAGGTTTGCTTATTATACCTTCGATATATTCTAGCGCTATCTTTTTACCTTCAGAGACTTGATGGTATCTTTCATATAAATTTCTTAATAAAAATATAAGCGTATTGCGTTCAACACTGTTTAGGGAAGCTTCTCGTTTTTTATTGTACACAAGTTCGTTACTTCTTTGATTTGTTTTTTCCTGGATCGATTCTAAGCAGAGTCTAGTCTATCTTCTTCGTACGCTTCTATAAGGTCGTTTATAACTCTATTAAAATCATTTTCGTCGTTAATTAAAAGTCGTAGGGGTACTCGGGTACCAATTGCGCGATAAAATCTCTATCCGTTCTTATCACCGCATCTGGGTCGAGTTCACTGGGTCTTATAGAGTCATCACGTCTTTTAGCTGGTTGTCCGTCTATTTGCGTATACCAATCAATCTCCGTGGCGCTGGAAATATTAAAATATCCGGAGTTAAACATCACCCTTTTTACGCGTATAGATTTTTGACCGTTTAGATTATCTACAACGTCTTCTAATTTAAACGTCTGCTCATTTTGAAACAAGTGAAACGAATGCATTTATTTTAGTCTTTTTATATTAAAACTGAAACTAAAATAATGAGTGATTTTAAGTCGTTTAAAAAGCAGATACAATCGAAGCATTGGAAGGGTTATCTCGAACAAGACGACATCATCAAAATGGCTTGGTTAGATTTTATACCCGCCAAAAGTTCGTTTACCTCTGTGGGAATCATAAAGATCAACGAATCGATCAGGTCTTATGTGCACGCTTTACTCGGTGCGCAGGCTCAAACAGAAACGAGCGTATTAACACCGGGCAACGGATTAGATGCTCAGAGACAATTTAACGTCATCGTTGAAGATATCATCAATGCAGAAGACGACATGGAAACGAGTATCAATCAATTTCAAGACTCATTGCAGTATGCCAGAACGCCTTTAAGTTTTGTCGTGAAACCGGGGTTGTATTTAATTCCATCGGATATGAACTTGAGGGTTGGAACGCACGACGGCTATAACAACAATCTTCAAATCGCTACCCAGAGTATGAAAACTGGTTTGGTGTTAGATTTAAACCCACAACGTCAACCGGACGACTCTTCTGATGACACCGATGACGTCGGGCCACCAACACCCCAGAGCCTATGACAAACGATATTG